CACTCATTCATAGATTTTTCTTTCGAAATATCCTACAAATAGTTTTAATGCTCATTTCAGTAGAAACAAACAAACAAAAACCGACATAAACACAACTAACCTTTGACAAAAAGGATTTCGAATGTCAATAATCTTTCTTAGTTCACTCTATTTTCCTTTTGTTTTTCATTATACTATTACGTAGTTTTTTGTTTATGGATTCCTTTGGTCGTTATTAAAGTTGAATAGATGAAAGTTTAAAATGTCTTTTACAGTTTTCAATCTCGAATCAACAACAACATTTCAATGATGTTTTCTTAAAAAAATATTTGTTGGTATCGACACTGATTGACCATCAGCATCATTGTTGTCATCATCATCATCTGTACATGATAAATGTTTTCAAGGTTCGTTGTAAAATTAAATAATGGAAAAAAACTCATTATTAGTTAAAACAGAGAGAAGTAAGGGATTGATTAAAATCGACTTTATAATACCGTACAAAGAAAGAAAATTTAAAATATTAAAATAAACTCAGAATCATTTTATGATTAGAGCAGTAAACGTTGCCTCTTGTCTAATTCTTATAAAAGACCTTCCCTTTAGGTCGATGTTATCATAATCATTTTGTCTATCTATATTTTTTAATTTCCTCGATAAGTCAATAAAATTTATTATTAAACCAAATTCTTCCATAATTGGTTTTTTTCTGCCCAACATGTTAGTATACCAGCATTTCTAATCATCCCTTTTAATAAATGGCATGGACTGCCAACATTATTTCGTTTAATTTTGAAAACAAAATAAGAAAAATAGAAAAGAAACACAATAAACCTTGAAATTGAAAATCAAATAGAGTGGCATGAAGTGTTCATAAATATGTGGGTCGTTATTAACAAAACAATTTCGTGGGCGAGTACAGAGTAAAGTTTGCTAAAAGTAGTTAACATTCTTTAAAATATATTATGGTTTAAATACATTGCTCACTTAGGTAAAGATTGTAAGAACTCAAAATATTCAATTTTGAGTAAATACTTGAGGTAAAATCTTTAAAATGGATTAATCTAAAGGTACGTTTAGATTTAAAGTTCAGAACCTTAGGGGCTAGATGAAATCACGATTAAAAAAATATTGGTTAAATTTTATTTTAAAGCCAATACATATAACTATCGGACTTCATGCGTATGATTAACTTGCAATAAAAAATCACAAGAATTACTCATACGCAATATGATCTAAAGTAAACTTAAAGAAATGTGTTTTAATTGACGAAACAAATGGAAATGCTTTAAATTATTATAAAACTTAATATAAGATTTCAAGTTGACTATATGTGTAATTAGCGATTAACAATCCTGTTCAGGTGTTAATTATTGATTAATGTGTAATTTGTGAACACCGCTATAATTAGTTATTTAGTTAGTTAGTTAGTTATTTAGTTAGTTAGTTAGTTAGTTAGTTAGTTAGTTAGTTAGTTAGTTAGTTAGTTAGTTAGTTTTGTTAGTTCGTTTTAGTTAGTTAGTTATTGTCGTTCGTTAGTTGTTAGTTCGTTCGTTCGTTAGTTCGTTCGTTCGTTAGTTCGTTCGTTCGTTAGTTCGTTCGTTCTTTCGTTGTTAGTTCGTTTTAGTTAGTTCGTTAGTTTCTTCGTTCGTTCGTTCGTTCGTTCGTTCGTTCGTTCGTTCGTTCGTTCGTTCGTTTTTCGTTCGTTTTTCTCGTTCGTTCGTTCGTTTCGTTCGTTCGTTCGTTCGTTTTCGTTCGTTCGTTCGTTCGTTCGTTCGTTCGTTCGTTCGTTCGTTCTTTCGTTCGTTCGTTCGTTCGTTCGTTCGTTCGTTCGTTCGTTCGTTCGTTCGTTCGTTTCGTTCGTTCGTTCGTTCGTTCGTTCTTCGTTCGTTCCTTCGTTCGTTCGTTCGTTCGTTCGCTCGTTCGTTGTTCGTTGTTAGTTCTTATTCTCCTCCCTATTATTACTTTCGTGTTCTCTTTGCTACTACCAGAGACGTATGAGTAATTTTTAAAGAAATCGTATTAATCGTAATAAAACAAATGATATAATTGTATTAGATTTAAAGCAGAAATTATTTCATTTTTAAACAAAACTGAGTTCAAAAGATAATTTTCCAAAGATAAAACAGGATTAATATACAAAACGTATTTATAAAGAACTACAACAATGTAAATGGTTTCGGCTTTGACTCTTTTGTTCTACTCCTGCAAATGACAGTGTTTGAACTCAAAAGTGTTTAAAAAACATAGACAAGTAGATAAGTACACGCATATACATTGCTATAAATACCCACACCAACATACGAAACAAATGAACAACACCTACACAATGAAAGTGGGGAGAGAAAAAACACTTGCACGCACATTATGAAATGAAATTAAACTATTCAGTCGATTCCTTCAACATTCTTGTGTTTTTGTGTGAGCGTGTATGTGAAAGAATGTATTCATGTTTATGTATGAGTTTGAATGTGTGTGACATAAAAATATGTGTACTTTCTATGTAGAAAAATGATACGTGTTGGTATGTGTATGCATTGAAATATGTAAGTATGTATGTTTGTATGTCATTTGTCGCTATTACTGCTGATATTGTTGTTTATGTTTTTGTGTTGCTGTTGTTCTATCTGTTGTTTCATTATTACTTGTGTCTGTCAACTCCCAGACCGGAAGTCGTCTTAAAATCCAAGTAGGGGTGTCTGTCATTGATTTCAAAATAGTTCGTTAGTTTATTTTTTCCGCATTTTATGTTTGTCTTTTCATTTTTGTTTTTTCTTTGTACACAGCAGCAGCACTTGTAGTTGCTGCTTATGACTCTCTTAAAGACTATTTGGGTTTAGTGGAATATGTATATCATTTAATAAGACATACACACATAAAAGGGATAAATAAAAAAAACACACAACCAACAAGGACTAGAGCATCATAAAGGATAGATAAAATGATTTGTAATCCTAAAAAACAAAATCATGAATGCTTTCGTAGAAAACTAAACTACTTCCCTTTTATAATGGCTAAAAGAGAGATGTAAAAAAGTACAACAACATTGTTTTAAGATTTTTTGTTTTATTACTGTGCTTGTTTTTGTTTTTTATAAATAAACAGGTCAATGGATTCCTAGTTCTTTTTTTCCTTCTTGCTTTAATTTTTCTTACGGAAACCCCACATCTACATATATAAATCATTTTCATAAATGTAGCATCGAGTTGGAATATCATGGCGCACCCATCGTTGTCTGTCTGTTATTTTCACAGCAGACAACAACGTGCAACAATGTTCTTGTACAACTGAGGATTTTACATAAACAACTGATGTATTTATGAGTACTACTAAAACAGTATCTTGATTTAATTTCGAAAATATATATTTTATTAAATTCGAAAATGGTGAGAGAGAGGGTGTTACTATTGATGCGCATGTTTGTTATTAGAGAACAATTTATAGTGGCGATAATGCCAGATGGTACTTTCGTATATCTTTAAAGAAAATTCAAATTTTAAGAGACTGAATACACAATAGACTAGACTATAGACTACACTAGACTATAGACTATAGACTAGACTATAGACTAGACTATAGACTAGACTATAGACTAGACTATAGACTAGACTATAGACTAGACTATAGACTAGACTATAGACTAGACTATAGACTAGACTATAGACTAGACTATAGACTAGACTATAGACTAGACTATAGACTAGACTATAGACTAGACTATAGACTAGACTATAGACTAGACTATAGACTAGACTACAGACTAAACTATAGACTAGACTATAGACTAAACTATAGACTAGACTATAGACTAGACTGTAGACTAGACTGTAGACTAGACTATAGACTAGACTATAGACTAGACTATAGACTAGACTATAGACTACTAGACTAGACTATAGACTAGACTATAGACTAGACTGTAGACTAGACTGTAGACTAGACTATAGACTAGACTATAGACTAGACTATAGACTAGACTAGACTAGACTATAGACTAGACTATAGACTAGACTATAGACTAGACTATAGACTAGACTATAGACTAGACTATAGACTAGACTATAGACTAGACTATAGACTAGACTATAGACTAGACTATAGACTAAACTATAGACTAGACTATAGACTAGACTATAGACTAGACTATAGACTAGACTATAGACTAGACTATAGACTAGACTATAGACTAGACTATAGACTAGACTATAGACTAGACTATAGACTAGACTATAGACTAGACTATAGACTAGACTATAGACTAGACTATAGACTAGACTATAGACTAGACTATAGACTAGACTATAGACTAGACTATAGACTAGACTATAGACTAGACTATAGACTAGACTATAGACTAGACTATAGACTAGACTATAGACTAGACTATAGACTAGACTATAGACTAGACTATAGACTAGACTATAGACTAGACTATAGACTAGACTATAGACTAGACTATAGACTAGACTATAGACTAGACTATAGACTAGACTATAGACTAGACTATAGACTAGACTATAGACTAGACTATAGACTAGACTATAGACTAGACTATAGACTAGACTATAGACTAGACTATAGACTAGACTATAGACTAGACTATAGACTAGACTATAGACTAGACTATAGACTAGACTATACTAGACTAGACTAGACTATTGACTAGACTAGATTAGACTAGACTAGACTATAGATTAGACTATAGATTGGACTATAGACTAATCTATAGACAGTACTGGATTAGACTATAGACTAGACTATAGATTAGACTATAGACTAAACTATAGACTAGCCTATAGACTAGACTATAGATTAGATTGTAAACTAGACTATAAACAAGACTATGGGGTAGATTATTTTCACAAAAATATGGCAACTCAAACTCGCCAATACTCTTTTACGAAAATCCCAGTTTCTCTTTCTCTCAAATGAACAAACTTCCGCTCCCAGTTGGTTGGCAACCAGATGGATATTTGCAAAATAACTGTTAAAGAACCCAGTTAAAAATGGTCCACCGTCGCGACAGCATCCCGGGCAATTTGGAAATTACGTAAAATAAAATATTGTTTGGACCAAAGACTTTCAAAATATAAATTCTCCTTAATTTTTTGTGTTCAAATGTTTTTTATTTTTATGTAAAGTGTTCAGTGTTGAGTTCAATGAAATGAAGAAGTGAAATTGAAACTACCACGGAAAATAATAACAACAACAGCAGTAAAAGTGAATGATTTTTTCTTTGGTTTTAATTTTCGTAAAAAATCCACCAAAAATTAGGAAAACTCCTTTTAAAAAAAAGTAATAATTAACTAATGAAAGCCACTATAAAATTAATAAGATTTTAATAAATTTATAAAGTTTTTAGTTTATATTCTTTTGTTTAAATTTCAAAATATACACCCAATAACAAGAAAAAATCAGCAAGTTACATAAGCTAGTAAACGCAGTAACAGCAAAAATTATTAATGTTTTGAATTCAAAAGAAGGGCGCTTTCATTTGCCCCTGCTTCTTAAAAAAAAACCCTCAATAATTGTTGGAAAACTTTTGAACAGCACTACAACAATATACAAACGATTCTTAAAATAGAAAAGCAAATTACTTTAGAAAAACCTCAAGCGAAATTTTTATAGTTTGTGAAAAAAGTGAAAATAATTTTAAATCCATGAAAAGTGATAATGATTTTTAAGTGAAACGTAACAACCAAAACAATGAATACAAATATGATGGCGTTGAAAGTAGAAAAGAATTACAGATTTAAATGTGGAATATTGTAACAGGAACAACAACACAACAAATGTTGTTAGAGTCATTGTTGTTTTTGAGGAAAAATGTTTAACAATAGAATACTCACCGACATTCATAGTCTTTAACAATGCCAGGCATTATTTCGAAAATAGAAAACAAAAGCAATAACTATTTAAATGTAGAACACAAAAATAGAAACAAAATAATGATTCAAATTCATTCATTTTATCAAGCCAACATACATTTAAAAAAAAAACCTGATATTTTATAATGATGTTACCTGTACTTACAGGCTTTAGCCTATTAATTATGAACGTAATTGATTATTTAATTATTTGTATGTTTTAAATTATAAATGATATTGTTAATTTTTTATCTTAAAACAATACTCGAATACAAAAATCTCGATCTTTTCCAAACATTGCTTTAAATTCTATTATTTTGAATAACACAGGCTAATAAATTTTTAACCCAGACCCAAAGTATCTAACCCCGACAAAGAAAAAGGCAATAATTGGTTAGAGCCGATAGAAGGGGCCGACCCAACACCAGTTGAAAACACCCTATTGATGTTATGAGGGATGAAGTGTTTCTACAAACATTCTGATTGTTTAAAGACTCACCCCAGTGTATTCCTGGATGACTTCGGCAACAGCACCTAGGGACAATATTGGTGATTCGAACGCACAGATCTATATTAAATTAGCCAGACTTATTTCAGTGGCCACAAGGACCTACTGTGATAAGTTGAGTTTGTTTTAGAGTAAACTCCAACACACTCAACCATGAAGGAAAATAGCCGATAAGTTAAATATTAAGGTATTACATCACCTCCAATATCTCAACCAACTCCACCGCCATTTCAACCGTCACTCCATATGTCATTCCGACATCTCCACTGATACAACTCAGAATCCATCTCATCTTTAGATACAAATATCCGATGGTACATCTCACACCAACGCATACCCAATCATTGCATTATCAGCTCAAATCCATTTTTTATTAATCCTCAGCCTTGCCCTGTGGTTTGGGTTTGAACTACAGCCACTATGTGAATCCCAAAACAACCTCAACGAACAGACCAGCAAAGACAAAGTCCTGCGGGCAAGTGGCTACCCGTAGTACCAGATTAGGTGGTGCTCTGGTTCGATCCCATGTCAAATCATTCCAAGGAAAGACGAAGGTACATTTGATCATCACCAGTTTATAGTCCCGGATGACTAGAGGTACTGGTAGCACCTTTATACCCCGGGATTGCAATACACCCAGATGGGGTATGTCATCAAGGAAACATGTCGGGGCGGGGGGTTTTTGGTTAGTGAGAGGGGTATATTTAAGCCATTCCGTTTGTTATTTCTATAATTTAATTTTCAGACCCTATAAAGTATATATTTTCCGAGTCCTTATAGATAGCGTGGTCATTTAATATTGTTGAAATCAATTTTCTGAATACCTCAGATATCTTTGGGATCCAAATCTTCAACATTCTATCAGACATGCTTACGAGAAATTTTCTACTTAAAATCAGCAAAATTGATTTATAAATAACGGAGATATGAGCAAAATCCGAGACAACCTCTGTAAATAAATTGCTTTTACAATAAAACAACTTAAACTAGAACACATGCGTAAGTGATTAACTCATGTGTTTACTTTAATCATCTGTGTGTGATTATTAGGGTGATCGACTCGATTTTTCAACCGGTTTTAAAACCGGTTTTTTCTGCTTTACCAGTGTCGGTTTTTTCTTAATGGTTATTTTTCGAATATCGAATATCCCGGTTTTTTCACTTTTTAAAAACCGGTTTCGGATACTTTTATTTGCTTTGTATTCAAAGATTATTTAAATGAAATTTTTAAGTAAATAATAATACAGCCCGTCTAAATTTTAAAAATATTTGAGTCGAGGAACTAGCGTATATTTTTCTAGAGCTCCTTTGGTTAAACTTTTTGATTTTCCTAATTAATTAAAAACATTTATTTGTAAAATTGATAACTGTTTGATAAAATTTTATCAATCTTAAGATTATATTCCAATTACAATAATTAATTTACGGCTGAAATTTTATGGAAGTGTTGGAATGCCTATGCAAATTTCCTAAACAGGGCTTTTAAAATAAGCTAGGATTTCATAGTACCTTATGTTTAACAGAAATGTCCCACTTTTTTCCTATTTTTTTATATTAATGAAATAATGTAAATCAGACGACTAGATCTACAGTTATAATCTTTTAAACTGTTAAAAATCATTTCGGGCCATGTTTTATTAATCAAATTTAAACATAAACATTAAGTTTTTAAAATTAAAATATATTTTTTTTTATGAAAAACCGGTTAACCGGTTTTTTTCTGAATTTGAAAAATATCAACCGGTTTTTTTAAATGTCAACTATTCGAACTATTCGAAAACCGGTTTTTGGAAAATGTCGAATAATCGATCACCCTAGTGATTATACAATGTGCCAGAGAGTAATGCTATGATAAAGAAATTTTCTATGTCATGGACGTATACGTGTTACATTATTACAAATATTAAGTATACGCCTAATTTAGTGAAGAACTTTTAATACTTTAAAGTTTTTGCAATTTTGATCTTGAAGATGAAGTTTCTTTATGACAAGAGCTACAACTAAAGCCTCAGAGAGTAAATCGAAATTCCGAATGGTTCGTAACAGACATTTTTTACTTTCGATCGCCAATATCCTGCTGCTAAGCCCTTATTTTTCTGGGCTATAAGTCGATTAAGTTATGTCGTCCGTCTGTTTATCCGTGTAAACATTGTGCGCATATTAGAGGTCGCAATTTTCAAGATAATTTTATAAAATGTGGCACATACCTTTTCTTGGCCAAGAACGAAGCTTGAAATAAATGATTAACTCTTTGGCAACACCCTGTAAAAGTAATTTTTATTATGGGGAAAACAATGGTAAAATTATTTACATTCTACTTTCACCGTGTTATTTTCATATACATACGCACTAAATAACTAACTGATAGCAAGGCGGTGAGATTTACACACTTACATTTACATAAACTCACCTCATGTTGCAACCATCTACTAAAAGGATTCAGGTGTTAAATTTTTCATACGCACAAAAGTAATAAAATTCAGTTTTACTGCCAACATTAAACATCATTTTAATGTCCATGTTGCACGTTGTGTAGAGTAATTATGGTTGAAATTTAAATACAAATAAAGAAAAGGAAACGACGACAATGTCTAAAAATGCACGTACATGGGTGGTGGTAGCTTTATTACACTATCCTTCTTCTTCTGCTCTGTCGGATTTGAACATCAGTAATGTTTTTTTTTCGTTTTCAGTTGCAGGAAGAATGATGAAGATTCATCCATTATCCAAAACAGAAATGTTGGTAATAAAATGTGGTTGCTGTTGTTGTATGTGTGTTTGTTGTCTGTTAAGTTTTGCTGTGGTAAATTATAGTTTAATTTTTTTCGTTGTTTTTGTTTCTTCTCCTCGTTATTTGATGAGGTTTCATCTTTTGTTTCTGTTCAAATGAATTTTTAATTCAGTTCATGTTCATGAAACTATTATTTTGTAATTTAAGATAAAACTTAGTGGTTTATTTTTATGGGACACTCACGGTTAACAAGTGTATATGTTTATATTTAGATATTTTCTAATTTGATATTTATGTTTGTTAAAGTAAATATGAATGAATTTTTGAGTATTTCAGAGAATAATAAGATTAAATTTTATGACTTTCTTAGTTGGCATAATAACCTTAAATGTTTCGCAACAATAATGACCAATGAGTAAGGTTTTATGTTGGAATTTATCATCCTATTAGCTTTAAGTGCATTTTGACTGACATGAAATAAATCCTACGAATGGCACTTTGGATAATACTGTATACGAACGCAGCAAAAGCTTAAATTGAACAGAAATGAGTTAAACGTTATTCATTACTTATTCATTAGTATTTTAACTAATTATTTTAATACGGTGTTGTCATTGCAGGCAAGTCCTTACCCACGCTCGCTTACAAATAACTACTTAAATAAGTACGTATAAATAGGGCATTGAAAAGTTATGCAGTAATGCTAACAGTATGTCGTAGTTATGAGTGTTTGTGTTTGTGAAAGTACAAATCATTAATGAATTTAACTGTTGTATATTAGCTAGATCTAGATCCACTTCAGATTCTGGAACAACATCGTTATAAAAAGTGTTCTGTGGAACATTGTTATGATTTTAAAAAGATTAAAAAGGATCCTTTAGTTATATAACAGTTATACCCTAAAGCAGTACTCGTTCCAATACAATTCCTTAAGTTCAAATCAGACATGGAAAATTGATTTTTTTCTAATGATTGAATCTTAATACACTATTTAAAAACGTTTCATTTTTATTACGATTTTATTTTATTTTTGTTAAAATAAAATGTTCTATTTAAACATCCTATATTTACATTCTAGCCATATATGATTATATAAGATCATACTTGCAATTTTTACACTTATTTTATATAAATTCATAAAATCTTAAAGAAAACAACACAAACCAAGAAAATATATGTGTTGATAGAT